GCGTCTCGACATGGTCCGGAATAGTGACATCCGGAAGAGCCTTGGATTACAGCCTTTGCTTCTCCAGATTAAAAAGTCACAGCTGCGATGATTTGGCCATGTGTTGCGAATGCCTCCAGAAAGGTAGGCTAAGCAATTGGTGCTTGCAAATCCGACTGGCAAAAGGCCCAGGGGACGGCCAAAATTAACCTGGTGCAAGTATATGGAAGGAGTCTGTTCCAGACTGCATTTGTCTTTTGCCGAAGCTCTGGCACAAAATCGGGAACGTTGGAAGCTCTCTCTGACGCGTCTGCCTCCGCGACCTGAAAGGAGAAGCGGCGATGGAAGGTGAAGATGAAGAAGATGAACAGATGTAATGTCGCAAGTTCGACTTTGTCTGCTTGTAGCATCCACAAATGCAAAAGAATTTACGCAGATGTTGCCCTTTCTTTCGTACTGGCTGAAACATCTGTTCGAGAAAAATTGCAAAGAGCAGTGGCAATTTTACTCCTCCACGCCTTACGCCAAATTTTCTAGGAAAGAAATTGCTGAACCATTAATTCGCATTGCAACTGTCAAGAGATCACATTTTTTTAAATTATGCGCATAATCGTCAGTGGAATGCCGTATCGTTCACCGATTTTCCGCAAGGTATCTCTCCAGACTGAGGTAAACGCTTTGACCAAATCGACGAAAATACTGCAAAAAATTTGAATTTCCATGTTTCTTCATTTCCATAACTGTCTTATTGTATATATCAAATTAAAAGGGAATCAAAACTAATCGATTGGCCCTTTGGGTCGCCAGACCGGGAAAAGGTTGTATTTAGGTCGCGATTAAAAACGCTTGGGAAATACTAACCTAGATAAAAGCAAGATTACGCTACTGAACAAAGATTAGATGCATATCGATGTAAAGTCTAAAAAGTAACGTTGTATGGATTCTTTTTATATATCTAATTCAGGTAGATTATTACGTTTTTTGATTTAGCCATACTTTACAATTCAGGTTTTAATGGACATACATTATAATTCTAGTAGGCCAGAAGGAAAGATGTTGACTGCTTGGCTGGCGTTCCGTTCAGCGGAACAAAGACCGGACATTTCGTCACTGCATTCGAAAATTCTCGCACCACGAAAGACAGCTGAATTGTCAAATTCTTGGAATTCTATAAATTATGTACGAACTGACCTCTGTTCAAATAATGGACAAAATGCAAAAGAAGTCAAACAGTCAAAACGTGTCATCTGATTCTTTAACTGTTTGGCTTTTCCGTCTAGCATTGACCTGATCTTCTCTTCGGTTTCGATGTTTATTCCTTGCCATTAATTGGCACAAATATTGTGCTTGGAGTCGTTCTGATGTGCTGAACCTTGATTATAGCGTTTCAAGGCAATCGCATGGGGTCAAACCTCTACAGAACGGTATGACCTCTAACTGTAGTTGTCTTAGTGTCTGTTACACTTTTATTAGGATCTAATTCACAAGTTGCAGGAGTTTCCGCCTTTGGCGGATTTCATAAAACGCCACTAGTTGCTGATACTTGATGAAAGCATGGTCGAATTAAGTAACTGGCAGCGGGCGGTAACTGTCATGCCATTTCAGTATGCTCGACTTCCAAACATTTGAACCATAGACCGTTTGGAGAATGCAACAGTAGGTTCTGAGACTTTGCCTTTGCTTTTGTACCTTTCTACCTCCCTTCTACTGTTGTCACTCTACAACGAAAGTGGCCTTCTTGCACTTCTGTTCTTTGTGATTCGGTTGTGGCGGTGTTACTTGTAGGTCGTTGACGCATCTCAGATTCATGTTAATCTGATAGCAAAATTCAATGCATAATTTCCATAGAATGGAATGATATTTGTTCAGGCATCCGACTGATATGCAATGGCGAAAGTGAATTGGCCTCAACGTATAGTTTGTTGTGATCATAACATTAAGGTGCCGCATAAGGGTTACATCTCCATGTTGTGATATCTGCTGCATTTTTGAATTTTCGAAACTTTTGATGTAAAGCAGAGCTGTATCGTAAAAGGAACAATTTCTCTGTGAACGAAGGCCTGCCTCTACCTTCTTCAACGATCTTACCTTTCTGCCAATGCGAGCATTATCACATCTTGTATATAGTCTACATCTGGGTGAGCTGGCGAAAATAAAGTTCACGATCACACGTGGTTAAGAATTAACTGGTGCATATTCCCCATAATCTCAGCCGTCTCTTCTGAACTTCCAAAATGTTTGGCTAGCAAGGAAATGATGAGACTGCAAATTTTGTTAAGGGGCGTCCAATTCAGGAAAACGAGGCTGATTTAAACCTTGAACCCAAAGTCAGAGGGAGGGTGTGTATAACCATCTGTGCTAGAGAGCATGACATCTGCAGCATATCATGTCGTGTACCCTGTGGACAGAAAACTACATCTATTGGGCTGGAAGTTATCTGTTCTAAAGTGTTTTTCAATTTTCTGCCAATCTCGATACTAAGGCTTCTCAGAGTGGTATGTCTAACAGTAACCATGATGTTTTCACCTTTCAGGTAGTTTCCTGTGATGCAGCACCATTGCTTTCTCTTAATCTGCATAGATCAATATTACGCTTTTAGTAGCTTCTGTGCCTACCATTTTTTTGCCTTAGCACAGCCTATGGTTTTGACTCGTTCTGCTTCTAAATAATTTTTCACTTGCTATCTTAACCAGCTTTCAGTATTTTGCTGCTTCGCAATCTTCATTTAAAAATAATCGAAGCTTGTGCTTCGAAGATGCTTAACTTGGCCTATCGACGTGGTGAAGAAAGCAGCAACGATAATTTACGAAGATATTAAACGATCAAGACACGTTTCTTGTCTTGCCAATTCCAGGCGACATCTAAATTTACTTATTATTTGATCAAAAGTAATCCAAAGGATAAACTAATTTTGCAAAAGCTAAGCTAAGGCACGTAAATTTTCGTTCGTTTTTCATATAATGCGCATGTATTATGCAATATATAATTCGCTGAGGAACTGGTGTTATGGCATTATTTCTAGAATATACGCCGAATTACTTGACTCGCTGACCTCTGCTGAAGTTCTGATATTTAATTTAGATAATTGACATTAATATCGAGTCTGAAAAGCTGCTAAACTTGTTTTACAGAATGACTCCGAGTGACTTAGTTTGGAAAAAAATCTTTTACGATTTCAGGACCAACCCTATAGTTGAAGAGGCGAGCGACCATTTCGCTTGACGATTCAATGAAACTGCCGAAAAAGAAATTAATTTGAAAAAATGTCATCAATGAAGCCCTGGCATCGTAAAAAAGTGGCAAATTGCACTGGAAGTTCATTTTATAATAAAGAATAGTGCAAAATGGGTCTTTTCTGTAGGCCATTTAAGTTCGAAATGTTTGACATATACTGAAGGTGCATGTACCTGCCTATAATGATTCGTAAGGACAGTCCTTGAATTCAATAACTGTATAACAATGGAAGTCGAAATACGTTATCGAAGTGTCAACAGTTCGTAAACTGTAGCATTCTCTTCAGTCTTGGGGCTAAGAGCGGACGAAAAACCATAACGCTATATGTAATACACCGCCAGGTTCATCAGTAATCGCTGTCTCTGTATACCAAAGGCAACGATTATGTATACCAACGCTTATGCCATGCTGCTGAAAGGAGATGCTAATTACACCGGCCGGTGACCAATCATAAAGCCAGTAATATGACGATGTTCGAATTCTTGTAAGAGTACGGTGTTTTACTCAATCACCCTCTCTGGTTGTCGGTGAAGATAGCCTAAGCATGAGCTTGAGACTCCTAACTTATCACATCGCATCATTATTTGCGTTTGACGATCAGGAAGAATGCATGTTTCGAAGAATATGCTACAATCTTCCTCGGTTGAGCACTTGTGCAGCTAAAGAGGCCACGCAACTCTATCAGCCGACTTGTGGCCTGTTTAAGACAACGTCTCAACATTAACAGAGTGAACCTCATACATGCTGCAAGTAGCGTTCAATTGTGCCTCGAAGCATATACCGTTTGAATAGATCAGAAAACTGATTGATTATAGCTCTCATTCGGAGCCGGATATGACACATCCAAGTTCATGCAGGCTGGTCAGACGATATACCTCGATAACATACTTATTGTGAAACTAATCATTCAAGCACAAGTCTCTGAAAGATGGCCCTTGAAATATCTCGTAGTACACTTCTAGACAATCCAGAGCAATTTGGCGTGGCTGAGGGTGAAAGTGAATCTGAAAAGAAACCTGAAAGCGGAGCATCAGTTTAGCAACCTGTTGGCGTAATACGCGTACCCTTGAAATAATTACGTCAGACAAGTGACTTTTATAAATTCAAACGGTCGGAGAGATCACCGGCTTCAGTTTTATTGTACACACTTACAACATGGTAAAGTATGTGTAATACAAAACCGATTAA